CCCCCCCAGCACTGGCCATTCAGCAGCTGGCAGCTCTGTGTTGGCTGTTGAATGGCCAGAGCTGATCAGGATGGGCAGGGTGGGGGGAAGGGGCCTCCTTCCCTTGGGGGCCTGACCCAGCTCCCCCCAACACCCCAGCTGCGGGGGGGTGCAAGGTGAGGGGGCCATATTCCCCACCTCCTCCCCCTGAGCTCCCCCCCCTTCCCCATGACAGCCTCAGGACAGGCCACCCCCCATGCCAAAAATTAACCCTGGAGGAAATACAAGTTCCATAAAGCCATCTGCTTTTCAGTGCCTTAATGTAATACCTCATTTAACCAGGGTTAATTTTTGGCCATTTTAAAAGTGCTCTGCAGCTGTGCACATGTGCAATGACAGCTGTAGAGGGTTTTTAGGGGTCAGATTGCTCAAAAAATGTCAGTTGTCTGCGCCCTTTGTATCTTATTCTTGATGTATATGCTCAGAAGCACTCCTTAGACTTTTGTTCTTCAATTTTGCTAATCTTCAGAGTGTAAATATCTTTATTTTCCAACATGGCATTCTTATTTCTAACCTTATGTGGAACACATTGATTGTTGGGTGGGTTTTTTGTGTTGTTGCAAAGGCAGCTTTGATTTGTATAAATACACTTGGTTTCTATTTGAAACATTCATTAATATATCTTCTTGCAGACGCAAGTAAAACTGGTGAAAAATTCTGAATATAGTTTTAAAGGTCAAACAGGATTGTGCCATTATTTCTCTCTCTCAGACTTTGGAGTTTCAATAACAGGATATGCTGCATATGACTTCAGGTAACTACTATTGATTCTTTTTGTTTGCTGTATTTGTGTTCACTGGGTATGAAGTGAAGCCAGAGTAAATGTACACGCCAGTCAAAGGTTACATACTAATTGATGCGGCTATATTTTAATCTTTGTGCAATATAGATATTTAGATATTTGTCTTTTAAATAATTCAAATTCCAATGCTATACCTTCACTGCTGTTTTACACCTACTAACCAAATTAAACCTAGCCAAGTTCTAGTTACCTGCTGCAAAAGCAGTTTTAATTGCAGTGGAGTCATAACTCAGTAATCATTTTCAGACAGTAAAAGGACGAAGAAAGTATGTCTTGCTTGCCAAATGATTGGAAAATCCATCAGTCTCAAATGTTTGGACAGCGGCTGTCTCAGCGGTTGAAACATCCACCACGCCCAGTCTTCCAAAGATGCTTGGCAAAGCTATGAGTAGCACACAGAGCACTGTGCATTGCCTTACATTCAACTGATACTCTAAAATCATCCATGCCTCCATACACTTTATCATTTTATCTTTTTTTAATGAAAGTTTAAATTCTGATGACAGGATTGGCAATCCCCCACATATGGACACAGTTGAAAGATGCCCAGCCCTGGTGCATCTCCCAGCTGCCGGGCTTTGGCACAGGGTAAGGTCCCACACACCTGAGGCACCATGGAAGCCATCTAGCCTGCATCAGATTGGAGCCGGATTGTTCTGACACACAGTGTATAACAGGTTGCTGGCCCCTGTTCTATGATGTTATAGTATAGCAAACAAGAGCTGGAAGGGACCTCTGAAGGTCATCTAGTCTAACCCTGTGTTTAGAACACTGTCATCACTGTTTAAACCATCCCAGGCATATGTTTCTCTAACCAACTTTTAAAATTTTCCAGTGACAAAGATCCTACAACCTCTGGACATAATCGGTGCCTGTGCTTATCAACACTTATAGTTAGAAAGTTCTGTCTAATATCTTAACAACAAGATTTTGCTTTTTGCAACTTATTCCCATGATTTTGTGTCCTCTCCCTAGGAAGCAAAGAGCAATTGATTGCCAAAGGACAATCAATTACAAACCTGTTTTTACTTAAACTGTTATTAAATCCCCTTTCTTTTCTTTAAAAGTGAAAAATCCCACTTTTTCCTTCCAACCTTTCCTCACATGTCACATTTTCTAGACTTCTAGTAACATTTGTTACTGTCCTCTGGACTTTTTCAAATATGTTCACATCTTTTTAGCTCATGCTCGGTACTTGCTCTAACAACCACATGCTTCCCTGCAGTACTGCAGGTTAGACAGTCTTCTACTCCTTTAAATTTTAATAATGTATAATAAACCTGTTAGGAAATCAGGCCATTTAAAAAAAATCAGGGTTTCAGTCTGCAATCATTGTTTCCATCTTGGGAGATGTCTTTACAGAGATGCTTCCAGAGATCAAAATCTCAGGTTAGACTGTTCTGTGTTTTGCAGTACAAACTATGCATCTATCTCCAGCTGTGCCATATTAAACTGTTTTATCCAATCAGGGCTAAGGGCTTAAGCCATAAATAAAAAAATTAGGACATTGTTCTACAATGTTCTGAGTGCTTCCTGCAACATAGTTGATGATCTCAATTCCCATTGAAGTGAGTGTGTCTTGAGGGTGCTCAGTATCTCTCAGAAATAGGTTTATTTTTTTATAGCAGACTTGATAGAAAATATGCTATCCAGTATTAGCAACTCTACAAAGACAGGTTATATGCTAAGTATTGGTCCTATTAATGGTCTCTAGCTATACTATACTATCTTTTCTGTGGAACTCTTGTGCATGGCAAGAAGCAGAGAACAGTCAGTTGGGTCCATGCCTTTTAGGCAGATTTCTCTCGTTCAATGGCATTTTTCTTAGTTTTGACCTAACTTACTACAAGTTGTTTCTTTCAGTGATTCAGAGCACAGGGATGCATATGCACTCTTTTTCATCTTTTTAGGCAGTAAGGAAGATTTTTAAAGGTATGCATTTAAAACTGAAAAAGTAGAAATAATTATAGTTGGACATCTTAGTTGAACATATGAAGAAAAGCTAATCAAATCAGAATTCAAGTTGTGTATTATCTGTATTGTACTAGAGCTGGATGATCTTACGTTTGTCTTCCTCCCTCTTCTCTGTCCTGTTATTTGCTTAAATTCAGTTATTAAATCTTGTTGCAGATTTTGATTATAAATCTCTCCTAAAAACAGGGACTGCCCATATTGTATTATTGTAGAGTACAGTACATCCCAATCTTACCATAAAACATATAATCATAATACAATAATAATAGGTTATGGTTTGTAGCACACTTAGAGGTCCTTCCAGATAAAAGTCATAATTACAGAGATGTGGTTTTCTGTATCAACAATGTAGTATCTAAATGAAAATATAAGCAATACCCGTAAGTTGGCTGTCATTACACTCTTGGTCCACAGATCTCGGTGTTTTACAAAAGTGAGAAAATTATTTATCTTCATTTTTTTTAATATAGGAAGGGTGAAGTAGCTTGCCAAGGCTATACAACAAACCAACAAACAGATCTATATTTTCTGAAGTCTAGTTCAGTGTCCTTTTAACCAGATCAACACTATTTTCCATATATATATATATATATATATATATATATATATCCTTTTTACTGACCAGAAAGTCTGACACATGAGCAGAACAAAAATTAATATTAATACATTCTCTCATGAGCAAAACTTTAAATGAACATCATTGATCTATTGTTTTAGTGTATCAAAAATTTCATGTCACATGACTTGGGTATCTTTTCATTTAACTTTTATTCTTCAATCTCTGTTTTGGACAGAGGTCCTCCAAGATTCACATCAGAGTATTAGTGCAATCTGTAGCTACAATCAAATACATTGATGTCAAACAAATTGGCAAAACATTTGGATTTTAGAAAAGACAACTTCAGATAGTCATAGAAATATGTATTTACAGGAATGATTGTAAACCATAACCAGTTGAGTTTTTTCAAGTATCCCCAGTATCTTTTTTCCTACCTTCCCCAGTGAGAATTACAATTAAAATGAAGAAAAATTTCATAAAGGGTGTTCTTACTTGCCAAGGTCATAAATTTACCAAATGAACTCTACTGAAATATGGTCATGGAATTTTTGTCTTGCTGGGACCTTTATCTCCTCTCAGTTACAAAAAAAAGGCACAGTAACTGATATGAACCCAACTATGAAACAGTTGTATCAATTTCTGAGTTATGACCTGTTAAAGTAAGCTACGACCTCACTGAAAGTAGGTTTCATTTCTGTCATAAAATATCAGGGTGTACATAGCATCTGTGGGAGGCTTTTCCTAACCTGTTTTTGAGGTAGGTAGATTAGTTTTGTGGTATCAAAAGACTGTGCAAGTCCATTTGTATGTTTACTTACACTGTATCTTATCAGAATTATAATTTCAGGGTTTTGCTAAGGCTAAACAGGGGTTTAAACAATACAAAAAAGTCAAGAAGAAATAATAATACATTCTTCTTTGGAGATCAGTTCTTTAGAGCCAAACAAATGTGTACAAGGTTAAGAAGTTTGTTCTGACAGAATGCAGAGCATGACATTCCCTGATAACATTTTTGTTTATTGTTATCTATTGCACAATATTATCCCCAAAAGTTAATTTAAGAAAAATAATACTAATAATATTGGAGCAAACTCACTTCATACTGAAGCATATAACTTTATTGAAGCCATAGAATACACTCTAAGGCTTGCCAGAAAATACTTTGTTAGATTCCCATTCTTTAACACCACCCCTCCCCCAAAAACAAACAAATAGCCACTTGAATTAGGACACTGTGAAGTTTACTCATCATTAAACCTATTTTCTCTTCAGGCATACACTTTCAGAAAGTGTGTCTCTTTGTAGAAAGACTGTACTAAAGCTGCAGAAATACCTTTCTTCATCAATTTAAGCTTTCTTTTTAATGTAGATTATATTCTAGTAAATAGAAATGCACACATGATAATGTTGCAAGTCACTGAAGCTATTCAGGCTTCCTGAAACCATAAAATAAACATCGTGAGCTGGATCTTCTAATCTCTATAATTTCCATCTTGTGTATGTACTTTCTTAGTATTAAGCCAGTTGAGATAATTAATAGCATAATTAGCTGAAAACGTCAAACATTTATGATTACTTCAGTACATATCTGTGTGTATCCTTTTGCACTGCATGCACATTTCAAAAGCCACTATGAGACTTGAACATAGAATGCAATCATCTGAAAATTTGTAAAAAATGTTTTTTTTAATTTTTATATAAAATTGTCTTCCTCATTTTTATCAGTACAAAGACAATTCACACTAAGAACCGTCTAAGAAAAAAAATTCTAGTAATGGGAGAAAAGCAAGATACAGATAACTAAAAATAAGTAGATAGCAATTATACCTAAATGAAACATACTCAGAGATGAAAAAGTTAATGCAGTATTAATCTCATGATATAATTTTTTTGTTTGGACAGTGTGTATATATATAAAACAGTTCAAATAACAATTTTAACAAGACAAAATGTAAACATGAAAATTTACTAATTATAGAATAATGAATTGTCCAAACTGACATTTTAAGTGATTGGAAGGTATAGACTATAAACATATTACCTGCTGTTTATCAACAATTGGATCCCAAATCCACACTGTTACCATTTCATTAACAGCAGAAGATTCTTTGACTTGTAGCTTTGTATACCTTGCTTTCATATCAGCATAATCCTATGATGTTTGTGTTTCACAGGAAACAGCTTGTTTATTTAATTATTATGTTGTACATGATTCACTATGACTTAAACTTTGCTTTGAGGCACTGCATTCTAACAATTTTGGATCATTGTAATTTTTCTTGTAGTGGCCAGGAAGAAGAAATGATGAGGAAGCTGGTTCACTGGGGACCTTTGGCAGTGACTGTAGATGCAATTAGCTGGCAGGATTATCTGGGTGGGATCATACAGCATCACTGTTCCAGTGGAAAAGCAAATCATGCTGTTCTCGTCACTGGTTTTGATAGAACAGGTGAGTTCTATCAGTAGTTAGAGTCACAAATCTGTGCTTTTTATATTTATTGTTTTTGTGGAAATTTATCTTTTGTGAAAGAGGTGATTATAAACTGGAACATTTAAACTACCTGAAGCCAAATACAAGCAGATACATTTTGGAATTATATGTCCCGTGGAACTTCATTCACAACATTTCAATTACAGTAAACACATACTGCCCTCAAATTCTGTTATGTTAGTATATGATACTGCTTCAGTAAAGCACAGGCAGATTAGTTATATAAGAATACAGAGTCATACTGTAGTAGCCATATTTCATCTTCCTATGGTCTCCATTGCTAATCACAGATTTCACAATGCTGTTATGTCTGATCAGTAGAAACTGTGAAGCATGAAAATGACTTGTATATTGTCTCACTGCTCAGAGTTTTTTAGGATTGCCAAATTTACTGTTCCCTATAAGTATTTATGAAAGTCTTTTTTTAACAGGTATCATTCCTTACTGGATTGTACGGAACTCCTGGGGACGTACATGGGGAATAGATGGTTATGCCCGTATTAAAATAGGTGGCAACATGTGTGGTAAGTCAAACATACAAACTAACCAGTTAGTTTGAGCAGTAAAGGCTCAAGGCATTTCTGTATATGGACAATGACTTGGAAGACATGTTAGGGAATTTCAGAATATAAAAGCAAATCGCAGAAAAGGACAATTTTCTTGCCATTTTCCAGTTGGTCTAATAAAAGGTATCATTTTGGAACCAGGAGTTCTAGTTTTTTGTATGTCTTTTTGTCTCAGACCAACATGGCTACCAAGTACACCCTTGAATAACATGGGCACCTAGAACCTTATCATTCCAGTTTTATCTCCATGCTCAGCATTGTGCAGAATAGATGGAGCCCCTGCCTCATGGAATCTGTTATTTAAAGGTTCAGTCCATCAAGCTTTCTGCATGCCAAGAACAGTGTCACACACATTGCCTATCTGTGACCTTTCCCTTAGAAGACAGGGTTGGGGTATCTGTAAAGGACCAAGGATGTGGCAAAACATCCAAATGCTGAAACTCAGCTCTCAATTTCTCTTAATTAAAAAGAAAGAGTATTTTGAAGTATAGCTTAGAAAAACTACAGCTCCATTTTCAATTTCTGAATTCTCTAAAACAGGGTTGTCACATATACAGCCCTTGGGTTGGATCCAGCCCACAGAACCTCTTCATTTGGCCCAGTGGGTTATGGGTGGGCCAGGGAATTTGGGGGCACGGCCAGCAGTGGGCAGAGCTTGTTGCAGAATCCAGGGTCCTGGTGGACACAGCCCTTGGCAGCAAGGAGGGCACTTGGAAGTTGTGCAACACAGGGCTTGGTCATCCTGTGGGCTGCCTGGCCTTCTACTGCTTACATGTTGGCATGATAGCAAGCAGCTGCCTGTCCTACTGCTACCACAGTAGCCACCACTGCCATGGTGATTGCAGGTGCTGCTACCATCACTGCCTCAGGCCACATCTGGCCCAAAAGGAGCCCTGTGCCCAAAATGAGTTTGATACCTCTGCTCTAAAACAAGATTGTAAGTCCTCCACTGCTACCTTAAATACTTCAAGTAAAGGACCCAAGACCTATAACATGAAAACAAAGGAGAAAGTGGGCTGGGTACGGAGAAACCTTAATTGTGATCAAATAATGTTAAGTTGTAAAGAGCAAAAACTTTTATTCACTCTTATTTTTCCTTGTATTTAATTAATTGAATCATGTCTTAGGGAGAGAGGACTTGTAGGAGTTAATTTTCAGTTGGTTCTTCTAGACAGCAAGTTTAGGTCAGAGTAATTATGTTCTTAGTATTCATTTAACAATTGCTTTACTATTCTAGGTATTGCAGATACAGTTGCATCTGTATTTGTTTGACACACACTAACCAGAATAAAATGGTACCATGGCAGTTCCTTGGATTATCATTTTCCAGCTGTTCAGTATGAAGATTTTTTTAACTTCAAAAAAATTGCCAACTATTTTATAGTTACTTCTCTGGGCATTATAAATATGGCACAGCCAGATTTTGGGACAATATTACATCATCCAGGCTCTACGCTTCTAAAATCTAGGGAAGACTGAAGTTGGGAGTTAAGGATGCCATATAGCACACCTTTTGTTCCAAAGAAGAAAGGTGAAACAACAGACATATACGATGGCCATTTTGGACATTTGAGTTTTATGCAAATCTTCTTTAGTATTTTCAAATGGGAACCCATGATGGAAGGACATTGGGACATTGTAAATATCAGTCCCAGATGAGGAACACCAATAAATTCTTGGCAACAAGTAATAGAAAGGTTGACATCACAGCTGATTCACAATGAAGTAAAGGAAGAAGAGAGAAAATGACAGGATATAATGTAGAATCTACTGAACATTTTGAATCCAGAAATCTGGCAGTATGGTAAGATACATCTGGAGATGCTTTAATGTCAGGGAGAACATGACATACCTCTTTCCTTATCCCCTTTCCTTTTATTTGTAGGTGCTGTCAGGGAAAAATTGTCATGCTTTTAGTTTTTTTAAATAAGAAACAACTATTGTTCCTATACATTCTGATGCTTGTATTGGCTTTTCTTGCAACTCTGACAGCAGATGATGTGTGCACTGATGTGAGCTAGCCCAATTTCTCTTACTACTTCCTGTAACATTCCTCTTCAATTTAATTATGGTCTGGTCCTTCAGTGTGTATGATCCTTCCTCAGGGCCTTCTATGGTCCTTGTATATAAGCAAGTGAGTTGAAGCCATATACTCATTTCTACTGCAACACCCAGAAAAAAGTGAGCAGGAGGGTAGAAAACATGCCCAATACTAATGATACCTTCTAAATGCCATCAGGCCTTTCTGTAACCATGTGGTAGCTGCGTATTTTCTTTTCTCTAGCCTTTCTTTCCAATCTGCTTGATCCTCATCTGTTATGTCTTGTTAAATCTAGTATGTATCCTCATCAGGGCAGAGAATAATATTTAGGAGGATCCTACAATGCCTTTGAGCATTCAAAATTAATCCCTAATAGGTAATCTCATAGATTGGAAGGCAAGAACTAATAACCAATTAACAGCATTATAGGAATCTGGGATATTAAAACACATGCTGTACCCTCATTTTGTACATCAGTTTGCAAATAGGCTACTCAACTTGGAATAAGTGTGGCAGAGCAGCCTTGGTTCAGCCTCCTTTTTCTATGTCCCTGTCTAACATTTCTGCCAAGTGCAAAAGGGAAATTTACAGCATGCAACCATCCTTTCAAAAAAGGTGCCCAGTTCTGCATTCCATCCTTCTTAAGGGTTAATCATCAGTTAATTATTAGCAGGACAGTGCAGAAAGCACTCATTTTCTCATGTCAGTTCTCCAGCATTACTACACTTTCACGGAAATATTCCAAGCAGCCACAGATAGCTGGATAAGTTTCCTGTAGAAGAATCACTTAAATCTGCTCTTCTTCCTATGTTGGTCAAAGGGAATCACTGAATGGTTTCCAGCCCTTGCTGATCTGAGGTGTATAGAAGAGACAGCAATGCCATTTGTGATTTTTAAAGCATTTTAGTACCACTTTGTAGCTTTTCATAAATTTCTGTTATTTAGAAATAATTTAAAATGACTATATATGCTCCTTTTTGAAAACATATACATGTTTTAGATGAACTGTGAAGAGGTTTTACAAACTTCAATACTTTGTACTTTATCATTTTTACATATTTTCTAGTAAAGATGTTGGGTGTTAAAAACCTTTGTTTGTTTTAATGATGTTCTTTCTAAAATAAAGAATTGGAATATTTATAATTTAACCTGATGTCCTTTTTATTATGCCTTAGATTTCCAGGTAGTGTAGAACAAAATCTGATGCCTCCACTTGAAATATTTTTGTATCATCTTTTAGTGAAGCCCTTTTCTTATAACAGATTTTTTTGCTGGTTGTGGAGAATATGCTTTCCTGATCAAGACAATTAACCAGTAACACTTGTTACTTATTGAAAACACATGAACATAGGTGCTATCTGAGGCTAGATAAATGATGTTAACGTGCACTTGATTCTACTGTAGCAAAATGGTATTAATTGTGTGGTGTTGCATTTACAAGTTGTTGCCATCTCATCCCTCTTGATAATCGCAGACTAGTAAATGAACAAGTACATGTTTTTGAAGAACACTCCCCCAATAATTTATACCTCAAGGTATAAAGTGTATCAAGGTGTTCTGAGGACAAATACATGAATAAAAATGCATACTCAGGATTTCCATCTCCTTTGAGGTAATGCAGTAAGGTCCAATTGAGGCACATTGGCAGGATAACATGATAAAACTTCATGTTTTACTACCACTTTTGCTGCACCAGTGCTGTAAACAAAAGATTTCTCTTCTCAGTGCCTTTATTCTAGTATGGTTTACTATCACTAACTTCATTTGAACAAGAGAAATAACAATAAGGAGTAAAGAGCGTTAATTTTTAACACCTGTTTTATTTGAAGTAGATAACCAAGTGCTTTGTTTATAGGTTACAAAGATCAAGTATAACAGACTAGTAGATAGTTCTGTCTAAAAAGATGGGTTTTTTTATAATTACATTTGTATGTGTTGCTAAGGCACACAGGATTCCAAAATATTTTTCCCCTTCTCAGATAAAATATTCAGGGAAACTATCAGGTTCAATTTGGCTGGCTCTGTCTTTGGATTTTTCTAAAAAACCTATGCCCAATAAAAATAATATTTAAAAAAATATTCCAAGTAGGTACAATTTTAAAGCAAATAAGTATTCCCTAGCAACACTATGCTTAAGGACTTGACAGAAGTTGACTAGAAATAAGCTAAAATAATGGAAAATTATTAGTCCACTTCCATTACACAAGCTAATAGAAATGCAGCTATAAATATGAACCAAGTAAATACAGTTTTAAAACTATTTCTTCCATGTGTTAGTAATAAGTGTGGTTTTGGTCTCTACAAATACATCTCAAGATTCTTGAGAAATACTGAACAAAATGAGTAGCATTAACACTAAAAATTAAGCTGATCCCAGGTCGCTCTACAGGTGTTATTAATGTGATACAGACTTACTGCACAGTAAAATACTTTACAATAAGCCTTCCCTGGGAGCACGTCTACATGTGCACCTTGTTGGAAGCAAACCTGCTCCCAATGGGAGCAGCCAAGTACAGGGCTGCTCCTGCCCTGCTTTGCCCCCCTGCAGCAGGCAGGGGGAGCTTCAGGCTCCCCTGGGGTGCTAGCCCAGGGGCTGGCAAGGTACATACGGGCCAGCCCTGATGTGCAGAGGGCCAGGAGAGCTCTGCTGGCTGCAGTGGCAGCTGTCTCCTGCCCTGTGCATATCAGGAGGGGTCCTGATGTGCATGGGGCCAGGAGATAGCTGCTGCTGCTGCAGCCAGCAGAGCTCTCCCAGCCCAATGCACTTCGGGACATTCAGCTGCCAGTGAGCCCCCTTCTGTGGGGAGCCAGGAGCCACACAGTGCTGGGATGAGGTGGGGAGGGAGAGGAGAGAGTGACTTGTCCCAGCACTGATCGGCTGTCAGCTCCTGGGGGGGACCTGGGAGCTAATCAGTGCCAGGACTGGGGACAGAGAACTCCCCCTCCTCCCCTGCATCCTGTGGCACCCTGCTGGTGTGGCTGACTGGGAGCAAATTTGCTCCTGGTCACCGTCTATATGAGTGCTATTGGGCAGTCACTACTGTGCATTTTATCTAGTACCTGTGCAACAAACTAATTTGTTGCACAGGGAATTACTATATGCACATGTAGATGGTGACACTTTACTGCGCACTAAACTATGTCGTGTAGATGCACTTCCTGTGTTTTTAACTTAAAGTTACACTTTAATCTCTGTATATTCTGTTGGTCTCAACTGCCTTCTCTCTCTATTTTTCCACTATTTTAAAAAGAACTTAATGTAAACATTTAGTTTGTAATACCTGTAAATCACATTATTCATAATGTAGCCGGAATTTCATCACATTCTTAAAATGCTTTTAGCCTGTTGTTTATAAATATATATACATGCCTTATAATATTGATTATATTTCAGAGGACATCATGGAGAGTGAGAATCAGGTCACATTACAGTTCAAAGTGGATCACTTGGGTAGAATTTTTTTTTTAATCTGAATCATCACTGCTAAAGTAAGAGCTGTCACAATATTCTGCTGTGTAAAGGAATTTATGAATGGTTGGGTTCATCTTTGGTATCCAGTGTCTTGGCACCAAAAATGTTGAAAGGTTGAACAAATCGACAAACACTTTGTACCTGTCACTGAAAAATAAAATCAAATGCATTAATATTGTTATGTTGGCTTAAAGGAGCCATTACTCAACCCATACACAGCCTAATTATGGGAACCTAACCAGAAGACCTCCCTAGTGTTTGAGGGGTATACTGTATCAGCATTGCCCCAGAAAATTCTAATGGAAATGTCCATTAGTAATATTTTCAGGTGTGTTTCATTGAGCATGGCAGCCCAAACTGGAACTGAATGCAAAAGGTTACTTTTAATTAATGTGATTACAATATGGGCTTTTGTACCCTGATATTTTTTAGTTTTGAGCTGCAAAGCACAAACCACTCAGCAAAAAACTGCTTTGTTGCTGGTCAAAACCACTTTTGCTCTTGCTTCTATTTGTAGTCTACACATACTTAAAATTCTTTCAATTGACTAAAGTTTTAAAACATTTTGTAGGGCTTTATTAGTCCAAGATATTACTGTATTCAGACACCAAATTAAAACCCCTACCAACCCAGGTTCTGATTGTTTTATAAAATTAATGATAACTTGTATCTTAGATATCATTGCAGGGAGCTGAACTAATATTGGGACAGTTGCTAATATCCAGGTAATTTGAAACTTACTACATAATATCTTATTCTGAAACCAGAAACAGGATAGCTACATTCCTGCAGTGATTTGGGTGGACAAAATAGCACTGCTGAATGACAGGGCAGTTTAATCCAGCCATCTGCAGTACTCTGCCAATAGCAGAGAACACAATGTCTCCAGTTTAGGTAATCTCATTAGATTTGAAGAGATTGTACATGGTGCAAAAGAATGATTATTTATTCATTTCTATTTTAGTGGTTTCTAAAGACCTTCTGGGGCAGCAGACCCCCTAATACAATATGCTGATAGAGAATAATTGTTGTCCCCAACCTTCTTAGAATCTATATAGAGAGAAATACGAGAAGAACAGTGGACAAAATAAAATATAAAGTCAGGAAGAGGACAAGGGAACGATCTGATTAGTTTACTAAAGTAAAGGTAATAACATACTAGCTACCTAGTCATTGTTAAACAATTTGGACATTTGCTCACCACAAAACCTGCATGAGGTATATCAATTATGATTGGGGATCCAGGTTTTGTGTTCACTGCAGAAAAACATGGATTTTCTTTTTTAAAGGAGGAAAATCACAGATATCCCCCTTTAAAAGAGAAAAATGCAGGAAACTGTGGGCTCTCCTTGCAGGCTGGCAGAGTTCAAGGCTGCAGGGGGCTGCTTGGGGCTGCAAGGAGTGGTAGAAGGGCAAATAGGCAAGGGGTGCCAAATGTATGTGCGCTCTCACATGCACATGGCACCTGGGTAGCACTGGAAAGCAGCTTGCTCCAGGTAAGTCTGCGGGGGTGAGGGATGGTCAGGGGGGTTGGGGGAAGAGGCACAGGCCACGTGGGGTAGGGGGGAACAGGCTACATGGGCAGAGGGGTGGCGAGGGCATGTGCCCCCTGAAATTTCTGTGCCCACAGCACGGCATAAGGTTGCAGTAGGGCTGAACCAGCTCCGGAGGAGTTGTCTCCATGGTCCAGTGTGCGGGACCTGATGCGGAAAGGAGTGTCACACTATGCCACCATGGCTACCAAGGGAAGGCATCATATGCACACCCAGCAGCAATGGGGGTACAACTCCATTCTACCTTTGCTGCTGCTCCTGTTGCACCACAACATGGCAGTGAGGCACTCTCTCTAGCACCAGCTCCCTGCTCCTGCTGGTTTGGCCTGGCTTCAGTTTGCACCCCACTGGGGGCACAGAAATCTTGGTGGCAGGCACGTGCCCTTCCCACTGCATCACCTGTGGGCCCCCCTCCACCACTTGACACACACCCACTCCCTTCCTCGTACACTGGGGGCTGGGAACAGGGCAACAAGGCCTGGGGGGAGCTGTGGATGAAGAATGAGGAGCACCAGCAGGGCTGGGGGCCTGTGGATTTGGAGTGAGAGGCACCAACAGGGCTGGGGGACTGCTAGTCAGGACTGAGGGGCAGCAGCAGGGCCCAGGGATTGTGGGTCAGGAGTAAGGGGCACTGGCAGGACTGGGGAGCTGTGGGTGGGGAGTGAGGGGCACCAGCAGGGCTGGAGGGCTGTGGCTTGGGAGTGAGGGCGTGGCCTGGGGCAGGGCACCAACAAATTACTGCACCAACAAAAACCTTGTGTTCATCTGATATATATATAGTTGTGTTTAATTTTAATTGTGAAAAAACACCAATTTGGAGGGATTTTAATCAGAGAATTTGCAATTTTTAAACAGAGAAAAACCAGGATCCCTGATTATGATGGTCAAGGGCAAGATGAAAAGTAAGTCAAGTTTCTCGGTTCTTACCTCACTGTTGAACGCAAATACTGGTAGCCTGATGATCCCCCTGTGCCAGCTTTGCTGCCAATCATTCTGTGCACCATGCAGACATGGTTATCTAGGCAAGACAAACCAAACAGCATGTGTTTCACTAAACTAAACAGTGCTGATAGTTCAAACACTCATTAAATCTGGTCAGACAGTGGAATGCATCCTATCATAATTTCATGTGAAGGACTCAGAGACATCTTAGGAACATCTTCCTGGGATTTCACAGAGAGGCTGACCCAGTAGGTCTGCAGGAAGATAGGAGCCCTATAGTATGTTGCATACTGGCTAAGTGGTATTTTTGGCAGCCATGTCATGAATTGAATCCTGTTAAAATCTTTTATCTACACAAAGGCAGAAAAGTATTTTGCGTAGTTGAGAATAGTCATGAGAAATGGGGAACAGAGGGTGCATCTACACAAGACATTTACTCCAGAGTAGCCTAGTTAGCTCAACAGTAAATGTCCAATATTAGGTTGCAGAAAACTAATAAACTCCATAGCAGGGTAGTATTTGTAGATACAAGTACTATCCTGCTGCAGAATTTTTTTACTCGGCAACACCGCATATGTAGACACTGATGCGGCTGGTTGCAGCACCAGGGTACTTCAGTGTGGGAGATGCTTGCTGGCTAGCCCCACAGTGAAGCACCCTTATGGCCCAGCCAGTCCTTTTGCAGCACTTTGAGCTGGGTTGGAGCAGCCCCAGGCTGGCAGGCTGACTCTCCTGGGCCTTCTGCCAGCCAGGGCTTCTCTGATCTGGCTCAGCATGCTGTGGTCCCAGCTACACGTGTAAATGCAGCATCCAGGAGCAAATAACTCCAGTGTGATAAGTGCCAGAATTTATTGCATCACTGTAATAGATACATGTAGATGTGCCCACATAGTAGTCCTTTAGATACAAAGTTGACCAAACCTTACGTACATCATGGAAGTCTTTTGTTTAAACTATGGTAGGTGATAGCCCTTACATATTTACATACCAGATATTAAGGAGGTGGCACACCTCTGTTTTTAGCCAAAAAAAAGTTGCCCTCAGAATAAAAGAGAGAGTTCTTTAGAATTTCATGTAGGAAAAAAAAATGTTGATACAGTTGGAAAAAAGAGGGAAATTTTCTTATGTTCCTATAAGAGACTCTATGATAATAAAGGACTGAAAACTTACATCTCCACTTTGTCATAAGTATATCCATATCCATAAGAGAAGTTAGAAGTTGAAAGGGAACCTGGAAGCGAGGCTCCTCTCTTGAAAAAGTAAAAGCCAAGACATCAGAAAATCACTTATTTTAAATTATTCTAACTTATCAGTTATTGTTTTATAATTCCATATTTGTCTAAGTGTGCAAGGTACATGTGTGTATTTTTCCTAAATTTGTGGAAACAAGTATTCCAGTAGATTCTTTCACCTTCTCAACATGTTGGTTGCATTCTGTTTCATGTTTGTAACATTATGCTATTAAAAAACCTAAAGGACCAAACTACAGTATATATTCCAAAAACAGATTTGCATTTGAAGCACTCCAAATTCCAGTCTAGTTAGAGCTCTATTTAGATCATTTCAATATCATATGAACATACAACTCTCCCATTCTGAAGTGCTTCAAAATCATTGTGACAACATATAGCCGTGGTGTTTTTTGGTCAGCAGGCATGACAGGATTGCTTCCTCCTGTGGCATCCCAGCATGCTCTGTTCCCCCAGACAGCTGGAGAGCAGAAGCTCCTGCTTGCTTGTTGCTCCCTTCCATGGTGGGGGTACAGTGGGAAGCAGAGCACTGTAGAAAGCTGGAGGGCTGAACAACCCTTGTCACACTCTGCTAGAGCATACATGTTTCAGGAAATACTTCAAAAAGAAATGCTTCAAAGATATTCTTCATTTTCTAAGGTCCCCTCTATACATGCAGGCAAAAGTGCAAGGAGATCCGATGCATGATTCACACGTTTATGCCTCCTGCCATACCACATGTGCATGGCAGGAGGCTTGACTGGGATCACACATTAGATCCCATTATGCCTTATTGTTGATGCAGAGGGAGGCTGATCCTGGACTCCTGCACTAGCAAGAAGCAAGCTCCTCTGGCAGGAGCCCCATGCACCCCAGTTGATCACCACAGGAGCAGTTCCCCCCACCTCTCACACACACACACACTCCCAGGAGTGTGCAGAAACCTCTGGAGTCTAGGGGTGGAAACTCCTGGACCCTGGGGATCATGGCAGCCATGATCCTCAGGGCTCTGGGGGTGCATAAAACCCCCCAAACCCTGGGGACTGGCTGCCACAATCCCTAGGGTTTAGTGGCTTTATGTTGGGTATGGTACACCCTGTGGCTAAGAACTCGGTCAGCTGACAGAGCTCCCAGGCACAGGGAAAACTCTGGTACACATGCAAATCAAAGCTTGAGTGCAACCAGCTGTAAAGTTAGTACACAAGTTTGAGGTTTAACTTTATCACTGCTTGGAGCTTTTTATAGTATGATAGCTACTTTGCACATGTAGGTAGTCTCTAAGTAATTGAACAATTAACCAGGTAATTGTGCAATACCTGTAACATGGCGAGGGGGCCTGAGGATCATTTTTGAAGCACCTCAGCCATAGATGTTGGTATATTCACTCACCAGAGTGCTTCAAACAGCACCTCTGCCCAGGACCTAAAGTAATTTCCCAAAAAACTAACTGCAGTAAACTGATTCCACATTGTTTGTATACACAATCTGCAGTCTATAATACATTATCTACCCTTTAGAACTCCATCTTCATGTTATGTATACATTTATGAGCATTACCCCGATAAGCATTAGAGAAACATCACTTGGAATTACCTGTAGAAGTAAATCATTAAAGCTCCCTTCAGTGCTTTGTATGACAGTCTTCTTTCTCCTGCAAAGATATACAATTTTTTTAATGTTAATTTTTTGGGGAAATTCCAGTATATGAGAAATAAAGTTAAAGGTGTCCTGTTTACAAGCCAGTAAGGCCCATTGGGGTAACGGAGGCAATGCTCTATTGTTTCATTTTTAATGGCATGAAAAGGAGGTGATGAGGTCAGCATCATACTCTACCTGCGTTTACCCCCAGGTAGCTCTTGGTGCCCATTGGATAAGCGGCTGTGTAGGGTACACTGGAAGTGGAAATGATAAGTGGAAGCCCACCACCCTCACCTGAGATCAAACCCAGATCCTGCCATTCCATAACCAGGCACTCTATCAACAAAGCTGCACAGCTCCCCATACATTAGAAATGCAAAAATAAATATGCTAGATAGAAAAACAAGTATACGTTGTCATCTTTCACTCCCAGAATTCTTTCTTCCAGAGCGACTGTGCCTTGAATTCTACCATTACCTGGAAATCCCCCTATCATGATAAATGAGGATGGAAAAGCAAAATCAAAACCTTTTGAACCTATTTATTTTTTTATATAATCTTAAATTAGTTTTCAGCAAGAGTCTGGTTATTCTTATTAAACTGTATTTTTTTTTTTTTTTATAGACTCAACTGTAACCTACCTTTACTAAGAAGATGTTCATGGCGTTTTTCATCAAATAATGAAAGCAGTACATCTTTTTGCTTTTGAAGTTCAGCCAGCAGGTCTTCTTTTTCTTCTGACTCTGGTTTGGTCTTTAAAATACAAAACAAAACAATCATTTGTTTCGGGAAAATGTGAAGTTCCTGAATTATCTGTTATAAAATTGTGGATTTTAGCATTACACCTCTAGGAATGTATGCATTAAGTTTAAGAAGGATATCTGCTGACTATTAGATGTGCCACTGTCTATGCAAAGCATGATTATCACAAAATGCCCCTACTTAGACATGTGTAATTAGCCCTTTGTCATACCCTATTCAAATTAATACATGCACAGATGCACAGTCAATTCATTTTTACATAAAAACAAAATCCATCTGTGAGAAATAGCCCTCCCTCACCTCCATATTTTAAAAAGATATAAACTTCCTTCTAATATTTTAGAAACCATGATTTTGTGATGAAATATTTACACATGCGCGCATGTGCATGCACACACACACACCAAAACAAAACATTACTAAAAATTAAATGCCAAAATAGAGTGACACTATGTTCACATGTTTTCAGTATTTTTGTACATCTAAGTATTTTACACTAAAAAATATGCATTTTTTTCTCATGGGAATCTACACGCAGGTATCCCTCATTGCCATATCCTCAAAGGACAGCCTATTAAACAGTTATAGAATTCCACAGCTCTGCTTCACAGTGGTAAATAAAAGCATTTCCTCCTGCTTTGATCCCCATGGACTTAAGAGTTTTACTCTGATCTCCAGGTGCAAACACACGGAATACAATTCTGCTATCCATATAGTCAACAACAAAACTTCCACTGATTTCAGCGGGTCTCAATTTTACTCTTACCCACTCCCTGCTCCCCCAACCCCCTTTTGGCAACAAATATCACCCAAAGTACCACACATTTTAGATTTGTTTAGATGCTACTTTTTAAAGGGGCTTAGAGTTGCTTGAAAGGGGTGCACAATTCTTCTTAGAAGTTGCTGAAGGCTGAATGATTCAAGGAAAAGAAACAGAAAGTGAAGATGGAATTAAAATTCCAAGATTTTTGTGGTCATAAACTTATCACTCGATCAAGAATATATACCTGGATCATTGCAAATTCTTCTTCTAGACCTTCGAAAACATTCTTTTGAAATTTTCCCCAGAAATCAAATTCTTCTTGCTCAAGTCCTGGTGTTCTTTCCAGCCATGCCTTTATTAAAACAAAGTTTTATGTTAATGTGTGATATTTAATACATTTTGGCATAATTAAGTAGCATAATATAATTATGCTACAGTGTTTATATCAGTATAATTCCTGGTGTGGGTATTCATTACTGAAACATTAGGGTCTACACTGGGATTTCAGCTGGTATAATTATGCCCAGCAGACAATCTAGCAGATTCGGAATTATTCTTAAATAGCCACAGAGTTGGAGACAAAGACTCACCAGTTGTAGTACCTTCCCTAGCACAGGCTCCTTCTAAACACCTGGTTAAGTCACCTCAACTTCTTTTGCTGTCACTTCTTCCTTTCATAAAGAGGGTAAAGTACTACCCTATCTCACAGAAATGATATAAGCATTAGCTTGTCACAAAAGTGTGCTGAATATGAAGACCCTTAAACAGAGGCGACTGATTATTTTATTGTATTCAAATATGCATTCACTGGCAAAATATGCATGCATTAATTTAGGAAACAAAAATAGATATAGCAATCCTTGATCAAAAGAATAAATTGGCAAATTCTCTCTGTTTTAAGTCTTTGACTTCTTTAGATCATTGAAAAGGAAATTATGCAATAAAACTTCAGAAATCTTTGGTCACATTCCCTTTGAAGAGGACACCATTTGCTTCCATTTTCATCTAAAATAGGTTGATTATTACATAAAAAGGATCGGTAGTCTGGACACAGTGGACACATCTACACATTCATTAATGTAATTTGCTTCTATGCATTAAGTTTAGTACCTCTAATATGAGGTACTACATAAAGGCACATTAGCCCACACTAGTGTGCAGTAGCAAAGGCAAATTTTTTTTTGTGATGCCTAATGCACAGTAGACTAATTTTACTGCTCATTAGCATGGTTTTTATGTGATGTGCTCATACGCAGTAAAATAGGCTACTGCGCATTACACCATCTGGTGTCGATGTGCCCAGTATTGATAGAAAATGATATATGTCTTGGAAACTGATTATCTGTGAAAGTGTATGTCATATTAATCCATGAAAAGTTATATAGAAGTGGTATATGTATGTGTGTAAGATAGCGTACAAGTGTGCATAAGAGACCATGAACACGCACTTATTGCTCCTGAATAATAGTTTCCTTCTTAACTTTTTAGAGTGAAAAATTAAACTTGCCTCAAAATAAATGTCAATTACATATTCTGCCAACATCCCCTTTTTCCCCCCATGTTGGGTTGGCACTTATCTTTTTCCCTTACACTTGGATACACAGCAGTGAGGACATTAGTTGTTCATGGAAGAAATATTTCACAGTTTTCTCATTCTAGAAGTAGTCTATGTCCATGTGAAATGAAACAAGTGTGCTTATGACATAAATAGTCAGCAGATAGGCAGAATATTCAGAATTCCACAGGGAAACTTATGTGTTTAATATCCAATTATATTTTTCAGGTAACAAGATATTATTAAGGGTCAGTAACCAAAACAATTTGGATTAGTGAAAAACCTTAATCTAAAACTGTAAGAAAATCTAAACAGCCAGATTGTTTAAGAAATTGACAATTCTGTTATCCTCTTAGTGAAAAGAATTTATCATTGAAATCAATTGTAAATATGCATGGGAAGCAATACAGAACTGAATCTTAAATCACATCCAAGGCAGATGATGTTTCTTATATTGAAATGGAAATTATATTTTTACATTCTTATAATATTTCTTATACTGAAAAAGGAATTAAAAAACAATAACAACAAAGAAACCATTACCTCTACTAGTTGCAGAAGTGTTGATTCCTGTTCTGATTTAAGCAAGAGTTCATAATCTTGTCCCTTGAAGTTATCACGATAATGTCTTCTGTTATAAGGGACTCTCAGACTCTGCGGGACACCAATCTTATTCTCTAATAATCGAAACTGTAAGCTCTGAAAACCTGATGCTGGGCTCAAGTATTCTCTTGTGATTAGAAAAAGATAAAACAGTGACATATTATTATAAAAATATGCAGAGTTCCTAGTCCTAATTTATATATAAATTAAATCTTATTGATCATTAGACACACGTACATATTAGAAATAGATTAAGTAGATTCTGATATAATATTGTCATTTAATTATTTTGTTGAAACCTTGGGATTACAGCCAGATCTGATTTTTAAAGTTTTTAAAAGTAAAACAACAAAATAATATGAAAACATGTCTTCAAGTAGGAAATGTCATTACAGTACAAGTTTTTTTTTCTAAATAGAATCAGCAACTGCATCCTGAACAGAAAGTAAGAAAGATGTTCTTTCTGAATCTTTAAAATGGAAAAGAATAAACTCTAAAATGTTCATTAGAGTTTGTATTATTTTATAAATAGGAACTATTATTCTTTTGGACAAAAAAATAAGGCAGGCTTTGTGATGATATCTACTTTGCTGTCTTTTTCAAAAGGATAGACCTATGGCATGCTGGAAGAATTAATTTGTAAGCATAGCACAAATGTAAGGGATGGAGGAATTGGCATATATGGGACTGAAAGTCATTGATTTGATCATTTTATAAGAAAATATTGATATGTACCTTATGATTATAAAGGCTTATTTTTTAAATAATATGCAGAAAGTAATTATTCCCCCACCAAAGATGATTAACCCATTGATTTTTTACTCCATTTATTTAAAGGTATAAAAGTTTTACTACAATAACTACTCAGAACCTCAGGGACATGTCCACACATGCAGGCACGTGCACTTGCAGCAGCTCAAAAAGAACTAGCGCAAATCTGAGCTGGGGCTTTTTGCCTAAGTGCACATGCTGGACATGCACTTTGGTGTGGGGCAAATTGTGCCACTTGGGGTAAAATAACCCTGCTGGCTCCTCCTAGAGCTGCAGCCAGTTGGTACCTTGGGACACTACCCATTCTGCCAGCTGGACTGCTGAAGCAGTCCTGAGTGTTCCCTGCAACCTCTACCCACTGCAGCAGTCTGGTAGTGGGTGCTGCTGCCTGGCTGTGATCTGCTGCCACTTGCGACTGCGTGTGGCCCCAAGACTGCATGCCTGCCAAATCCAGATAGAGACTGCATGGACATTAGAGGCATCTACAACTCTGGGCCAGCTGCCAGTGGGCTGTGCCAGCTCAGGTGGCCTTTGTGCAGCGGCACTACTGTCATGTCTGCCACTGCCTAACCATCTGGGCAGCTATCGCCCAGAAGATGTTTTCAGGGTCATGGCCTGCTTTGAACTGTCAAAGCATGTCCTCCTGGCCCCAAGTGGCCAGAAGGTCAGCCATCTCCAGCTGGGTCCTAGGTGCCAATTCTGAGCAGGCTTCTCTACCTGGGACCTGCCACTTGCCTCACTAGCAGGAATTCTGGTGTTGCCTTTTTAAAAACTGCAAAATCCCTGATAAAAAAAATCCCAAAGTCACTCTTTAAAATACCCCAACATCCATGTTCTTCCACAAGTAAAACAAAAGAACACTAGACATACATATATACAGAGAGAGAGAGATCAAATCAGTTGGGCAATGTTTTATTGATATATTTACAATTTTAAAGCAATTTGGAAGCCTACCAGTGCTTCCATCTTCATAATAAAATAGATTCTAAATATCTATGCAGTTTGGCATTGACTTTTGGCTTTTTTGTCATTGAAAAGCAGAGCTGCACCTATCCCAATTGCTCACCAAAATGTGCAGCACTGAGCAGCACTGATACGTCAGTGTCCTGCCCCTGCCCTTACCCCTCACTCTCAACCCACAGCCTGCCCCCCACCCCAGTCCCTTCATTCCTGTCCCACAGGGCCAGGTATGTGGGTGAGGGGTTTGTGGGGATAGCTTGCGGGTGTGGGGTTTGTGGATGGATTGTGGGGGAACTAAGGGTGTGGGGAGGGCATATGGGAGGCTGCTCATGAGAGGTGGGTCCCTGCCCCCTCCAGGGCACATCCCCCCTGCACAGCTCATGGACTGCTCCCCTGACAGGGCCACAGCCCCTCTCAACAGGGGCCACATGCCCCCTCTCCCACATGGCTCATATGTTCCCCACCTGGCCACAGCCCCCACTCACTCCCTCATCCTCCCATTGTTTCCCTGCCTGGTTGCAGTCCCCAATCGCTGCCCCACCCAGCCCCAGCATCCCTGCATTCACAGGCTGCAGCAGTGGCTGTTGGGGTCACTGGGACCTCATGGCACAGCCCCCCCACATGGCAGGGGGCAGTGGGGATTGGCCCTATCCACCTGGCACGCGCTGCCAGTGCTGCATCTTGCACAGGTGCAGCCTGGCTTGGCAGGGTACTGGGGGTGAGCCCTGCGGGGGGGGGGGGCTCTGCCACGAGACTCCAAGTGGCCCTGATCACTGCTGCCACTGCTGGTAAGCTCGGGCCATGCAGTGGGGAGGGGCCAGGGCCAGGAGTGGAAGTGATCAGGGAGCTGGGGAAATGAAGGGGGAGTAGGGGATATCAGGAGAAATGAGTGGAGAGCAGGGACCAGCAGGGAAAACAAGGGGAGAGCAGGAGAAATGATCAGGGAAGAGGGGAAACCATGGGGGAGCAGAGGACAGCAGGGGAAATGGGAGAGATGGGGAGAGCAGGGGAAACAAGGGGAGAGCAGGGGAACAAGCAGGGGGCTGGAGACGAGCCCCTGGGGATGAGTTCGAGATGTTGTCCTGCTCATCTCTAGCATCCTGCTCATTCTTCTGCTCATCTCCAGCCTCCTACTTGCTCCCCTGCTCATCTCCAGCCTCAGAAAGCTGGAGACAAGCAGGGAAATGAGCGGGAAGCTGGAAATGAGCAAGGGAATGTCTCCAGCTCGTCTCCAGGGGCTCATCTCCATAGAAGGTGGGGGGACCGCATGGGGAGCAGGGGAACGAACAGGGAGTGGAGGAATGAATGGGAAGTGAGGGGGAACTCACAGAGAGCTGGGGGAAAGAA